AAAAAAAAAAAAGTCACAATGAAAAAGACAGCTCGGACAAGGACGCCCTCTCCCCCAATTCCCCACCCCTTAGCTGAGCCCTCTCATCTGTCTTGTTTGTCACAGATCCCAGCATGGTGAGCGCCTACATGTACCCAGCGGGGGCCACTGGGGCACAGGCAGCCCCCCAGGCTGGGCCCACTGCCAGCCCTGCGTACTCGTCCTACCAGCCCACTCCCACACCAGGCTACCAGGTAGGCATGTGAGGCTGTGCCCCTCTTGCCCACTGCCATCCCTAGCCCCTTCTCCCATGGCACCCCTTCTCTCCACAGAATGTGGCCTCCCAGGCCCCACAGAGCCTCCCGGCCATCCCCCAGCCTCCACAGTCTGGCACCGTGGGCTACATGGGGAGCCAGTCGGTCTCCATGGGCTACCAGCCTTACAACATGCAGGTGAGGAGGCCACATGAGGCACTGCTGGGCCCCAGGGGGGGGGGGCAGGGGGGGGGAGGAAGTTGACAGGGTCGAGGGTCCTTTGGTGAGGCCAGTGGGCACTGGCAGGCTTACACCTTCTTTCTCTCTGGGCTTTTCCGGTGTTTGCTTCTGCTCTCTCCAACCCCCATCTGTCTGATCACAGAGCTGCTTTCTCAGTATCGGGCTTCATTTTACTCCACAGAATCTCATGACCACTCTCCCCAGCCAAGACGCATCTCTGCCACCCCAGCAGCCCTACCTCGCGGGACAGCAGCCCATGTACCAGCAGGTGAGCCATTCCTGGGCCTACCTCCCAGTGGCATCACTGAGCAGCCTTGGGCCTCATGAGTCCCCGACCCCAGTAGGCCATCCTGTACACTAGCTCCCCTGGGAGACAGATGTATACTTGGGGCCTGCTTCTCAGGACACAGAATTAGGACAGACGAGTTTTAAAGGCAGACACACACACATCCACATCTGTAGATGGTAAAACCCACGGATATACTAGAAGCCAAAGGTCACAGGAGCACCCCTCAGCAGACACTTGACTACCAACTCTTGTGAGTGTGCACGCTCCACTGGGATGAAGTGTGTTCTGGACAAAAGCCTTCCTCGTGGGTGGGAAGAGGGACACTGAGGCCTGGGAAGGGAAGGCCAGTGGCCTGGATCTGCTTTCCTCCCACGCAGATGGCACCCTCTGGTGGCCCTCCCCAGCAGCAGCCCCCTGTGGCCCAGCAGACACCCGTGCAGGGGCCAACAGCACAGGGCAGTGAAGCCCAGCTCATCTCGTTTGACTGACCCCGAGCCGCAAGCTCACCGTCCAGAGTAACACTACAGTTCATCCAAAACCGCCTCCATCTCTTAATTAGCTGGCATCCCTCCCTCTGCCTCCCTCTCACTGCCCTGTAGTGTTCCTTCTCTGTGCGAGTAGGGGGTGGCCTTCTCTCTGAGCCTTCCTCCCTTTCTGTCCTCAGCCCGCTGGCTCCTACGCTCCCTGCTGTGGTCCCTGACTTCTTTCCCCAGGGCTGGGCCTTGGGGAGGAAGGGTGGGAGGGAAAGAGCTTCCAGGGGAAGCCCCCAGCCCCTTGTGTCAAGTCTTGGGAAGGGTGGCTGGAGTGGGGACCCTCGGCCCCGTCACAGCCTGTGCCCTGCCATCGCACTATGGTGTCCAGGCACGGCTCCCCAGGCTCCCCCTGCAGGGTCCTCTCTAGAGCTGAGGGTGGAGGCTTCAGGCGTCTCTAGCTTCTCTGCTTCTCATCCGTCATCTCTCCCCCGCCGATAATAAAATGCAATTCAAAAGGTATCAGTGTGTGTTCAGAGGGGGCGAGGGAGCAGCTGAGGATGCGGCCCCTCCACCGGCCTAGCTCGCTGCAGTTGGGCCGTCTCCATCCG